CATTAGTTCCTGAACCTAAGGTCGATATATCATACCACCTTGTCTGTGTATGGTAATTTGAGGTCTTCATTCCATCAGCGAGAGATCTCAGAGAATACTTTCACGAGGAAAAATCTCCCCAAACGGCAGACAGCTGTGGCAAGGGCCCGGTAATTAGTTGTACAACCGTGATCATATCCCCTTCCAGGTGGGCTAGTGATCTCTCTTGTGGCGTCATGTTGCCGGGTAAGTATTACGTGTGGTAACGTCTGGAGGGGGGAGGCCCATAGTGGAGCCAACATGGAATCAGTTCACCAGCGTCATGGCAGCAGTCAACACGCCTCGCTCCCTGCTCCTGTTACTCTTGGCTTTCTTACACATTGCCACCACACTCGGTGCTGTCGCCTTCTATGAGAAAAGTCGTCTTGCAGTGCCAGTGCATCATGGCGGGGAGCAGATTGTGGCGGAAGATCGTATCGGTCAAATCCAACGTCAGGGTGAACGCTCTGGGCCTGCAGCTCGAAGAGAAAAAAACTACTTTGCTTATATACTGCCCGCTCTGGCCATCGCCGGCCTCTCCCTCCTCTTCCCCAACATAGTCACGGTTGACACCGCTGGTCGTCGTCGTCGTGACATTGGTAAGTAATCTCTCCATTTTTTTTTTCCAGGTGACTTCAACTTCTGCCGCCTTTATGTTTTCCTGCTGCCTGCTGGTGCTCATGTCACTGACCGTCTCTCCCACTGTGGCTCAAGGGTATAGCTCGTATTCGGAGTTGTCATACAGGGTGCCACGGTACCGGAGCCGAGGGTGGGCAATACAACCTCGTAGTTTCTGGTCCCGGGCGCGGTCCATCACGCCTCGCCTGTTCACCGTGGCATCAGAAGCCGCCTCTGTCCTGGCTGTGCCTGCGTTAGCAGTCTTGGCCTTATCTGCCATTTGGCCAACTCGTAGGCACTATAGGATTAAGCGCGAGGCTGACGGTAAGTAGACGTGTTTTACTTTCAACTTAATGTCAGAATATAGGCTAGCGAACATGCCATATTTTGTCTGTGTATAAGTTCCTAATTAGGTAAAGTCTCTAATTTACCTGACTCTACCCCAGGTGTGTAGGCAGGTAGGTGGCCTCGTGTGGAGGTGATGCCAAAGTATCTTCACTCCGTTCATTTATTTACTCAACTTCAATTCGGGTAAATTTTCAGTGAAGTCAGCCTTCATCACTGTCCATCAGTTACTCTGCTGGCAACCAAATAATATCGGCACACACAGCCTATCTTCGATCGCCTATTTTAGTCATAATCATTATCTTTTGTAGGCAAAATCAAGTTTCGTGTTTCAGTCAGAATTATTTCACCTTTTTTTAGAGTACGGTTAATGTTTTTACACATATTTTTTGTAAACAAATTGCCCTCTTTTAAACATAATCAATTTACCCTTTTCAGACAATTAATTTGCCTTTTTTTCGACAATTTTCTCTTTTATTTTCACAGAATCAGTTGACTTTCATTCACATAATCAAATCACAGTTTTTAGGCAACCAATTAACCTTATTTTAAACAGATTTAACTGGTTACATTTTAACAAACTGACTCTTACTCTTGACAGAAACTTCAGCTAAGACTCGGGGATATGTTTACATTATATATTTCTTTCTCTGGATTAATGTTGACATCCTCCTGACATCTTTAAGTCTAACTATATCAAGCAGCGTTGCTAAGAGAACATGTGCTAGGAATACAATACTGTGATAAGGGTGTGTGGTAGTGATGGTGTGGGATTGTGTGGTGGTGGTAAGGGAAAGAAGTGTGGTGATTGAGAAGAGTGTGTGATGGTTTAGGAGGGAAGGAGAGTGTGTTATGGTGGAGGAGAGGAGTGTGTGTGTGGTGGTGGAGGGGGGAGTGTGTGTGGTGGTAGTGGAGGAGAGGAGTGTGTGTGGTGGTGGAGGAGGGGAGTGTGTGTGGTGGTGGTGTGTGTGGTGGTGGTGGTGGAGGAGGGTGTGTGTGGTGGTGGAGGAGGGTGTGTGTGTGTGGTGGTGGAAGAGAGTGTGTGTGGTGGTGGAAGTGTGTGTGGTGGTAGTGGAGAGAAGTGTGGTGGTGGAGGTGTGTGTGTGGTGGTGGAAGGGGAGTGTGTGTGGTGGTAGTGGAGGTGTGTGGTGGTGGTGGAGGAGGTGTGTGTGTGGTGGTGGAAGAGGGGTGTGTGTGGTGGTGGAAGGGGAGTGTGTGTGTGTGTGTGGTGGAGGGTGTGTGTGTGGTGGTGTGGAGGAGGTGTGTGTGTGGCGGCGGTGGAGGAGGTGTACGTGTCTGGTGGTGGAGGGGTGTATGTGGTGTAGTGGTGGAGGGAGTGCGTGTGTGTGGTGGTGGTGGGGTGTGTGGTGTGGAGGGGGTGTATGTGGAGTGGTGGAGGGAGTGCGTGTGTGGTGGTGGTGGTGGGGTGTGTGGTGTGGAGGGGTGTATGTGGTGTAGTGGTGGAGGGGAGTGCGTGTGTGGTGGAGGTGGTGGGGAGTGTGTGGTGTGGAGGGGAGTGTGTGTGTGGTGGAGGTGTTGCGGTATACACAAGAGGGAGCGCCAGGTGACGCTCTCCACCTGGCGCTCTACCTGGTACTGTTACCCTCCTCAAAAATTAACAGAGACAGGTTGTTCACCCTTTAATCATCCTCTTTTTCCCGGTGCCTTACAAGTTTCGGATGTATGAGATACTTTTGCAACATCAACAGATAGAGGACAGTCAGTAGAAATAACTTGGTGGACACTAATTGTTTGGGTGGCGTCAGGTACCGTTTCTAAGAATATACTGTATATATTATATGTTATATTTCTTAGTAATTCTTCCTGTATGTTAGTTACACCCAGAACTTTCTCATCAACGGAAAATTGCTAAGTTTTCTATTAATCCATTTACTTACTTGTCAGTTTGGAACTAAAGCGACATATCTCGTTTCATATACAAATTTGATCTTTCTTAATATATGTTAAATGGAAACTTTCTCGTGTGAGTGATTATGCCAAATACTTGTTCTCGTCCTGAGAGAATCTGCAATTACTTCAGCTGAGAATGTTTTCCATTTTTCTACCGTCAAATTATCAAATGAATATTAATGAATCAACGCCGTGTCGGGCAGCCTGTTGATTTGAAGCGCCCTGAATGGAGATTTAGGTCAAAACGATTTTTACAAAATGGATCTTCATTACCCACCGCCTTGTAAACTACGAAATTTTTACGATGCTGGAGAGTGAAGAAACTTACTCAAGTTACTGTACAGAGTTTGTCCCTTGTTCCATATTTCTTTATATAACTCGCTTAGTGCCAAGTTTCTGGCGGCTAAGTTGAATCAAAGTTCCGACGAAGAAATGTCCAACCATGATGTGAATTTTATAAGACTGTTGATGTCACTGAATTACATCTGACGCACAAAAATCATTCAGTTAAGTCACAGAAGTGAAACAGACTTCACACGACCATCGGAGTAGTTATCTGTACATAGTCTTAATTTCGATTTATGTTGGAAGTGTAATGTTATGTGTTATATTGGGTTTGTTCAAGAAAAATTGCAGCTCTTCCTTTCGTAACAGATAACTCTTACTTATGTGGATTTGTAAGGCTTATGAAACTGATACACATATTTTATGGGCTAATATTTATATGTCAGATGTTCTACTGAAACAACCACTTGTGATTAATTTCAAGACATTTTAATACATACACTTGACGTCACAAAGTATAGTGCCAAAGACCTCACCGAAAAGCAGGCTTGTATAATGTCTAACTTCAGGCCAAGTCTTAGAATATAATTTTATGATTCAGTATATTTTTTTTTTCTGTAACAAACCAAATGTTCTGGGTAAAGCTTCTCTGAACTAAACTTTACTGCTTAACTTTACATCTCAGACTAAGTGTATTTATGACGTGTGGTGAGATGATGTGCCCACTGAGTCTTACAGCCACACATCACGTCAAGGTTTACAGCATAGACTCGGAAATAATCTTAAAGGATAGATATATCACTGGTTGCTTCTTTTATTGATATATTTTGTGTCTACTAGGCATTATTTGTTTCTAGTTCCTTCGAGATTTGTGAGAAACTTGCGACCATTTGGTAATGTTGTCATTAATTATATTACGTTCGAGATTATTTTTTTTTCCTGCTTTGCACTATGGAAGGTGCACGTGAGGGTGTGGCCTAACAGTGTAACCTATACTCAGGTTAGGCTTGTCTAGAAGACCATGTAATTTACGAGTCAATCAACCCAAGGCGTCAACCACAGGGTCTGGTAGAATCGCGCTAGACTGAATCCAGGACATTGTAGAGAAATACGCCCGTTACCACCAGCCGGTAGAGATATACTGCTGGTACAGGCAAACTCCGGATAACAATAACACATTCCTCCTTAAATGTCAGCCCAGAACGCTAACCACTCAGCCACCATACTTGTCATAGGGACGAGCTGTGTTGTCACGGATGGCTAGATTAAATACACACATGAGAATTTGTTTTTTTCGATTGACTTACTGGATTTATAACTGATGGCAAAACCAAAACGAATAATTTTGATCGCTTCCAATATAATGTACAGTACAAGGTTTACTGAATCTCTCCTGAGGACGACATAAATGGGTGAGGTCACGCCAGCAAGGTTGTACAGCGACGCAGCGATAAAATATGACCGAGTAATGCGCCGAGCTGCTACGGGGTGTAATAAAACTATCAAAGAGAAACCTGATGTTTACCTGAAGATAAGCGATCATAAACATCCGTGTTGTTGCGTGCATGTTTGTCAAGATTTTTGTTTACCTTTAATTATTCTTAGAACATTGTAAGAGAACTTGATTCCTTCCTACCTGCCCCCACCTCCCCTTACGATCACGGGCAACCATCACTCCTTAACCAGCAAATACATTATCTGACAACCTTATCGATGCTCACCTTAACAGGAAATTATAGACAAAAAAAATCGGTAATATTAGGAAGTTACGCAGTTGTTGTTTTTCTTGGAAAGTGATAATTATACCGGATGTTTCGGTTTAG